ATAATTAATCAATTATCTTATAAGGAAACAATTATCTTATTAATTGATAATTATCTTTAATTAGATCAAGAATATAGTCATATATATCATAAAATCGGATTTATATTGATCTAACATGATAAGGTAACTATCCATATGCAAAAACAGCAAGAAATCCCGAGATAAGCATTATCTGACGAGTTGACTCGTCGAGTCAGGCATGGACTCGGCGAGTTCAGCCATGGACTCGGCGAGTCCAACCTCCACAATCCAAAAAATCGAATTTTTCAGTTATACAATGCATCAATACAATTGAAACCAAACTAGGCTCTGATACCACTGATGGTTTTGGTCATAAGACATCCTATGTGCTCATACAAACCCTAATGCTTGGATCTAGGTTTCTCTATTGTACATGCTTTGAATCCAAGACTATAAACCCTAATTCTAGCATTCAAATAATCATATTAACATGAGAATAGGTTTATAATGTTACCTTGATTGTTATGTAGCAATAACAATCACAAATCTCCTTGAATTGACTTTGGAAGGCTTAGAGTCACAAGTGTCACTCCTCTAATGGTTCACAAACACCATAAGCAAGAGGATGAAGAGGAGAGAGGTTGGAGGCTGCCAAAAACGTATGTAAACCCTTACAAGAAGCTTAGCCACGTTTTTGAGCCTTAAGGGGTCTTTATATAGTTGGGCTATTAGGGTTATCTAACAAGGAAACCCTAATTTGGATGCTTAAGCCCTAAGCAACCCATAGACTCCTTTTATCAAGCCCATGGACGATTTCCTTATGGGTTTCCCATTAGAATTCGTCCATCCCTTAATACAAGGCAATCCATGGCCCAAATTGCAATTATCCTATAATTACAATTCCAGTCCCTTAAGTTTAATTAATCTCTTTTAGTCACAAAACTAATTACCAATTAATTATTGACTAACATTAATTAAACAATATGATTTCTCCTTTAATATATTATTCCCATAATATATTAATAAATCATATTTAATCCTTTCTCTCCATAATTCATCCTATCAAGTTGCTTTGGTGAAGGCAACCCAAAAGGACCATGCACCATTGGGTCAAGTACATACCAAAATAGTTATGGACTTAGACACTAATCCAACATGACTTTTGTAAAACCCACTTGCATGTGGTGCTTTAGCCTTTAGACCCATTTACATGTTAGAGTTAGAGAGAGACATGTAAACACCTCTATAAATAGTGGGTTTGTCCACTTGTAGAGGTGTGCTTGAGAGATGTAGAAGTGAGTGTGTAAGTGTGTGTTAATTATGTAGTCTAGATCTAGATCCTTTTTTTGTAACACCATATACATTCAATATATCTCTTAAACACCCAAATCACCATGTTCAATTGTGTAAGCTTTAATTCCGCATGCCAAACCATGTTCTTTGTCACTACAATTGGTATCAGAGCGGATCTTCAAGATCAAGGTGATATTTGAAGAACGATTCTCGGTTTGGCAATTTTTGTCGCAATTTGATCAATTTTGGTGAGTCTCTCTCTATGATCTCTCTTAATCTCATTGAATTGTGCGTTGCGTTTTTGATTCATGATCATTTGACTCGTTAGATCAAATTTTCTTTGAAAAAACCCATTTGTTGTGATCCAATAATTTTTCGTTGATCAAATCCGATCCAATGCTATTTGTTTGTTCCATTCAATTTTCAAATTGCATTTGTTTGTTTGAATTGAAATTCATGCTCAAAATTTTTTTATGATCTAAAATTTTGAATTCTTTACTGTTCATCAAATTAATTGGTCCAATATCCAAATTCGTATATTTTTCATTATGAGCCCAAATTGTTCCAAATATCAAATGATTTTATTCGGTTACTGTTCATCTTATTTCAAGCCCAATTGATATTCCTTTAAATCCGATTTTTCAATGAAGTAAGCCCACAAGTCTTTGAAATCCGTTTGATTCATCAGTAACTGTTCGTGAGATAACATGTACATTCGCATATCTTACTTGTACTGTCGGCGTCTGTATCTTCTTTATCGATTATTCTTGAGTATCTTGTTCTTCTAATCGATTTTACAAATTAATTAGAAGTTGTTCTTGAATCTTCTCTTGTGAATCAGTTGTATATGCTAAACCGATGATGAACAAGGGATTGTTAATCACTGTTTTGATTTTGATAAAATCGATCTATAACATTTGAGGGGAATGATGAACGGTTTGAATAATGTGTTTGATCTGAAATCTGACCCCAGAATCATCGAATTCATGTTTATGGTTTGTTGACTTTGAAAAGTCAAACTAACGAAAGTTGAAATTGGGATCTTGATTACTTGATTTTGAAGTCAGATTTGAATTGGATATTGTTGATTTTTTGATGAATGGAGTTCGAATCGATGATTTGGGTGATTATTGGAGTCGAAAATTTGTTTTGGATTATGATCAAATCAGTTAAAGTCCATTTCTTTACCCTATTGGCACTGTGTAACACAGCCTCAGCACCGCCAGATACACCAACTCCGAACTGAAAATCATTAAGGTACTTGGCCATTTCTTTACCCACACCGTTCATGGCAACCTTGGAAACCAGACGTCTCCATATTGTGCCTACTGCAATCGGATGGATCCCGTTGTCAGGTTTAAGTAGAGGTGTGAGAGGAGCGGATGCAACAAACTCTGCCAAAATGGTTGGACATCTTCCCGCTAACCATAAATTAACAACTGAAGTGATAGCATGTATGAGATCTGTGGCAATAGCAGACCCTTCTCCACAAAGGGCGTCTAGCAAGTGTTGAGCCCTCAAGCCATCTCTCCCGCAAGAAGTTCTTTTAGGGAAGGATTTGATGCAAGTAAATACACAATCAAAGTCTGCTACAAGGGGAGGTTCAGAAGTTATAGGGCTCGACATGGATGGGGGTGGTCTGAAAGGGTGTTTGTCCTCCAAATCTTTAATAGTATCACCATTATATGGTGCAATACCCGATGAGCACAACATTTTCACTGCTGCGGTAAAATGACCATCTGCAACCTTACGGAGGCATTGTCTGATGTTGGTGTTACTTGATGTAGCCTCCTTCTGAAGGATTCCTCCACCCTGACTCATAGCTCCAACCTCAGGATTATCTAACATATTTTGAACTAACTTCGTGATACCACCCTCTTTTGCCCATGTATCCAATGATTTCAGGATGTAGCTTTGCTGTAAGATTTTCTAGAATTAATTCAAAATTCCCCTTCCCGTTCTTACATTTTAATTTAGCAATTTGATTTTGGGTTTCATTTCATTTCAAATTTATTATTGAACTTTTTTATGATTTTGATGGATCGTAGTCGACACATCACTTGTGTTTGTCTATTGTGCCTTTAATCGAACTTGGTGCCATTTTCTTGAAGTGAAATCCATAAATCTGAGATGATTGTAATTAGCTAAATACAACATTGTCTTTATCCGTCCATTGAAAAATTGTCATCCAAAAAACGGTTATTCATCTCCCTAAATGAGCTCCAATTCATGTTATATTATGGTATTTAAGGTGAAAAGCTATATTATTTCGTGTGGGAGAAATTGATGATCCTTACTCAACTCGATTGATCCATGATATCCACACTCAACATTGCAATAACCACATTTTCCCGTAAAACATACAACCCCTAACAAAGAATCTTCAAGAGTGCAAATCATATGGTAAAACAAAAAAATTAGGTCCTACCGGGAGTCGAACCCAGGTCGCTGGATTCAAAGTCCAGAGTGCTAACCACTACACCATAGAACCAATTTGTGACTTAAATCCAGAATTTATATATTTAAATTAGTAATAGATCTAAATAGGCAATAATCGAGAATCGAAAACAAGTGTGTGTAGGGGAGATGTTCTAATAGAGTAATAGACCGCTAATATTTCTTGGCGACTTTTTTAACACAGGAAAAATAAAAAGGTCCTACCGGGAGTCGAACCCAGGTCGCTGGATTCAAAGTCCAGAGTGCTAACCACTACACCATAGAACCAATCTTGTCATTATCTCCGAGATTATTTACTAAAACACAAAATACTTTTGATATAAAAAAATTTAATGCACCAGCCGGGAATCGAACCCGGGTCTGTACCGTGGCAGGGTACTATTCTACCACTAGACCACTGGTGCTTCTTGTTTATTCTTCTGAGCCATTTACTTAAGTTACTAATATTGTTTTAAATGTAAGATTAGTTCCACTTAAACATTGTTTGTTATGCAACAGAGGACATAATAAGTTATACGAGGCAAGTACTAATATCAATTAGACAAATAAAAAACAATTTTTATCACATATAAAAAGATTGAACAAGGAATCGTTCTATTGCTCTCCAAAAGCGTGAATACCTTCTTTATTCTCATATAAAAAAAAAAAAAAAACATTCAAATCTTGTTCTCACATGTAAACACAGCCTTAAAACTCTAGGATTCGATTCTTTAAAATTGTTTACATTTTCCTAATCCTACTGGAGAAAAGCTAAAGTTTGTAGACCTAAAAACACAGGTGGTTGAGAATTTTTTTCACATAACAAAATGCTACTTTCGAGTTGCTTTTCGTTCATCTTTTTTCTCCAATAGTCAATAAAGTATTTGATTTCATAAGAAAAACTTGTGGTGTTTGAATTAACCAAATTTATTACCAACCCCAACTCATTTTCCCCCTTCTTTCAAAACTTACTTTACTTTTTGTAATTATTGACCTCCGCAACAAATAATAATAATTTAACTTCACATACAATACAGAATTCAACCACAAATCTAACCATAACTCAATTTCATATCAAATATAACACAACAAAATGATCAAAGCTAAAAACTATCGTTAAAAAAAAAAAACAGCTTTCTTAGTGCATCTCTATCCACCATTACCAACTAAATATCCCACTAAGATCTTAATTTTACTAAATTAATATAAACAATTTAATTATATTTGCGGCGTGGGGTGGAGTGGGGGCCCACCATATCTCAGTTAATTACTGTCTTAATCGATAATTTCTTGTTAATTTTCTTCCGCCTCAATTGTCAACCAAGAGAGAGAAAAAAGACGACCGTTGTTTCAACTTTGCTAAATTTAGCTACTAGATATCAAATGTTAGTTGCAGCCTTTCGGGAATGGGGGCATTTTTGTCTTTTCCCCCCTCCATGATTACCCCAATCTTTAAAGCTACCCTGCAGCACAACCACCTGTACAAGTTAGACTTTGCTCATATTTATCATAAAGACAAGACCCATAACCCATAAATACATACATACACACACAGATTAATAGATTATCTCTGTACATGTGACAAAAATGGAAGCTTTTTTCAGCTTTCTTCCCCTGTTTTTTTTACTGGTGTTCCCTTATCCATCTTCTTCGCTACCCATGTGCACCAACATGAGTAAGTCTCTATTCTCTCATGTATATATATGTAACTATGTATGTATGTATGTATGAATTATGATGATTGTGTGATGTTAATGTTTTAGGGGCACCTGTGATTGGAAATGAGCCTCTATCATTTTGTCCATACAAAGGAAGGGTATGTTGCGACTCGAATAAAGACTCAGAGTTACAAAAACAGTTTGAAGCTATGAACATCTCAGATCCAAATTGTGCTTCTATTATCAAATCAATTATATGTGCTGTAAGTTTATCTCTACTATTATCATACAAACTCTGTTATTATTATATCGTTAATAAACATATTTTGTGACGTGGGATCACCAAATGACGTTTTTACCCTCCGCAGACATGCGATCAGTTCTCGGCAAACTTATACACTATCGAATCACAAACACAAACACGTTCGGTTCCACTTCTTTGTAACTCTCTGAATTCACCCGATTCTTCAAAACTATCCTCCACAAGTTTCTGTACAAAAGTATGGGACACGTGTCAAAACATTCCGATACAAAATTCCGTTTTTGCCCCTACGCTACAAGGAACCACCGGATCATCACGCAACACATCAACCAAACTCACGGATCTCTGGCAATCAAGGTCCGATTTCTGCACCGCATTCGGTCAAACCCAAACCGAAAAAAGTCAAAGTCAATGCTTCAACGGGACACCGATCCAACTAACCGAAACCGAAACCCCGGGCCCACCGAAAGGTCTGTGCCTTGAGAAACTGGGAGACAAAGGTTACATAAACATGGCGGCTCACCCGGACGGGTCGAACCGTGTGTTTTTATCGGACTTACCGGGTAAGATATGGGCCGTAACAGTTCCTTCTCACGGGTCGGGTGACGGGTTAGGGTTTGATGGATCGAGCCCGTTTGTGGATTTAACGGATCAGGTTAAGTTTGATACGGTTTTTGGGTTGATGGGGATTGCGTTTCATCCAAAGTTTGTGGAAAACGGGAGGTTTTTCGCTTCGTTTAATTGTGATAAAGAAAAGTCGGCTACATGTTCCGGAAGGTGTGGGTGTAATTCGGATGTCGGCTGTGATCCTTCCAAGATTGTTGGAGCTGGAAACGAGCATCCGTGTCAGTATCATACTGTTGTTGCGGAGTATACGGTTAATGAGACGGGTTCGGGTTCTGACCCTAAAAGGGTAAAACGGTCATTTTATTTGTTCCTTATAGCATTTAATAGTACTAGTTTAGTTTCTAAAAATTGACTTTGTTTGTAGGAAATAAAAGGGAAACCTACGGAAGTGAGAAGGATATTTACAATGGGGCTTCCATTTACAAATAATCATGGGGGACAAATTCTTTTTGGGCCTAACGATGGGTATATGTATATAATGTTGGGCGATGGTGGAGGGCGAGATGGTCCTTTTGGTTTTGCTCAAAATAAAAAGTCATTGCTTGGAAAGATCATGAGGGTGGATGTAGATACATTTCCTAGTAAGTAAGGTGTAAAGTGTAATTCATTTTGTTTTCAAGTTTATAAAAATCCTGATTTTTTTTTTTTACAGAAGAGGATGATTTGAATCTATGGGGAAATTATTCAATCCCACGTGATAATCCTTACTCTGAAGATAAAGAATTGTTGCCCGAAATTTGGGCTTTAGGGCTCAGAAATCCTTGGAGGTGTAGCTTTGATTCAGAACGACCTTCTTATTTCCTATGTACAGATGTCGGTCAGGTTCGTTCATATTTTTGTTGTAATGACCATTTTACCCTTATGTTTTGTAATGACTATTTTACCCTTATGTTTAGTCTGTGTTATGTACAACAAGAAACCCAAATGAAATCAAATTAAATTTATACAAGTTTGTGATTGATTAGGATCGATATGAAGAGATTGATGTGATTACAAAAGGTGGAAACTATGGGTGGAGTATATATGAAGGTCACCTTGCTGTTAACTCAAAAGAAAATATAACATCTAATAATTCTAAAGATGTTATATTTCCAGCAATGGGATATAATCACTATGATGTAAACAAAAAAGAAGGTTCTGCAGCAATTACAGGGGGGTATTTCTATCGTTCTACTACAGATCCATGCTTATATGGCAGGTAATAATAATAATAATTAAAAAAAACAAATTATGAAAATAAAAAATGTAAGGATTGTATCTAACTATGTTTGTTCAGTTACCTATATGCAGATTTATATGCTACTGCTTTATGGGCAGCTTTTGAAACACCATCAAACAGTGGGAATTTTACCACAACTTCAATCCCTTTCAGCTGTGCTCATGATTCACCATTAGAGTGCACTTCTGTTCCAAACACTAACTTGGCTTCTTTAGGTTACATATACTCTTTTGGAGAAGATAACCAAAAAGACATATATGTCCTTGCAAGCACGGGTGTTTACAGAGTAGTTCGCCCAAGTCGTTGTAGCTATAGTTGCTCAAAGGAAAATGCGACAGAATCTGTTGCTCCTCGTGGATCTCCACCTTCTTCAAAGGGTAATCATGTCATTAGTAAATGTATGGAGTTTGTAATTTGTCTCTCTTTGATGTTGTTGTATTTGCTGTGAATGTGTAAACGCAAAGAGTATCAAGAACCAAGTTTTTTTTTTTATGTATTTTAGATCGTTTATGTGAAACTGAAATAGGTACTTAGTTTTTTTTATAATGAGTTATTTATGAAGTGAAAAGCTTATAACCTATTACATATTTACATACCAGATACATGATTCATTTGTTAGAAAATCAACAATCTTGACTTTTTCCGGAAGGTCAAAACTCAAAACTCAAAACTCAAACATCAGTCTTATCAACAACACCTTTTTCTATCGCTTCATCACACAGTTCAAGAGTTAAATCCAGGTTTCCTTCATGATAATTCATATCCATAAAGAAACTGTATACTTCTCTATTTGCAACTAAACCTTTTTTCCTCATTTCATCAAACATACTTTTTGCCTCTAAATATTTTTTCCTTTTAATAAACCCTTTGACAAGAGCATTATAACCATTTACTGTGAGATCATATCCCTTTTCCACCATTTCTTTATACAAAAACCACGCCTCCTTCATATTCCTTGCTTTACAATGTCCTCTAATTAGAACATCATATGTGTTTGCATTTGGTGAAACTCCTTTTCCCAACATACCCTTGTAGATTTCACTTGTTGCATGCATTTCATTCCGGATGCAATACTGTTTCATAAGCAAATTGTACGTGGTGGCATTTGGCATAATACCATTTTTACCCTTTTCCAACATCCATGTCAGTAGCTTCTCTCCATCTTCCAACATCCCATACATACAAAACCCATTCATTAAAACATTAAAAGTAACAACAGTTGGCTGAATCCCTTTTTTCAGCATTTCACGAAGAAGCTCATGAGCTTTAACCATGTCTCCTGCCTTACAATAAGCATCCATTAATGTCGTGTATGTATATGTATCAGGATGCACTTCTGCCATTTTCATATCTTCCATTAACTTTATCGCTTTTGTAATGTGACCAAATTTACAGAGGCCATTAACAAGTGAATTGTATGTGTGTATATTCAATTCAAGACCCTTTGAACACATTTCTTTAAGAAGTTCATTTGCTGTATCGATTTCCCCTTGTTTGCATAAACCATCAACCAATGAAGTGTAGGTTACAACATTTGGAGTTAAACCCATTTGAACCATTTCATTATGAAGTGAAAACGCCTCCTTTATTTCACCATTCTTGCAGTACCCATCAATAAGGGCTGAATATGTAAATTCATCAACAACCATTTCTCTATTACGCATTTTAAGAAAGAGATCATATGCTTCTGATATATTCCCCATTCGACAAATACCAGATATAAGAGCAGTGTATGTTATGTAATCAGGTAAAATGTTCCTTTTATGCATTTCATCAAACAGCTTATATGCAGCAGTGAGATTCCCAGTTTTGGAAAAACCATCAATTAGTGTTGTGTACACTACTTTATCAGGAACTATATTTTGATTTTGCCATGTCATTTCCCTGAGAATCTTTTCTGCATCCAACACTTTGCCTATCTTACACAAAAGAAAAATCACACTGTTGAAAGTAAACTTGTTTGGTTTCAATCCTTTTATTTGCATTTCTTCCATAAGTTTTAAAGCTACATTATACTCTCCAATCTGACAATACCCATTTATGATAGTGGTATAACTGATAGCATCAGAGAAATAGCCTCGCATCTCCATTTGGATGAGTAAGTTATGAGCTTCTTTGACTTTCTTCATTCGACAAAGGCAATGAATCATTATGTTATGTGACACAGTGTTCCATTTAACACCAAATTCTAAAAATTCAGTAAAAATTTGTGGTGTTGTCTTACACGTATCGATATTCTGTGATAGATGTGAGAGAAGATGATTGCATGAATTGACAGATATCACCACTCCATAGTTTAACATCTTGTGGAATAGCTTTTTGGCTCCATCAGGTATTCCAACTTCAACAAGGACTTGAAAGAATATATCAAATACATGGGGATTAGAGCCCCAATCTTTGTAAGTGTATATCAACTTTTCCATGAAAAGGGTAAATGGAAGAGTAGCATCTACATTGGGTTTAGTCCAAAAGTCATGAATAAGTTGATAAGCAACTTTTGGGTCTTTTGCAGCAACAGAGATTTGAATGATAATGCATCTCACCTCAAGAGATGGAGCTCTATGTAAACAGAACCAGTCAAAGAAAGTCAACACTAATGTGTACTCATTCTTTATGCCCATCAAAACCCAAATAAAGTGGTCAGACCTAAGCCTTGATTCGAATGGTTTCAGAATTCGTTCTATGGGTTCAAAGTGGCGTTGCTTAATGGTGGTGGAGATGCTGTAAACAAGTTCAGAATCTTTGATGGTGGGCTTTTTGGGGGAATAATCAGGGAAGTGTCTAGCACTAGCTGAACTAAGTGATGAGTATTTTCGGGTTGAAGGATTTGGTATGAGAAATGGGAGAGAAATGACAGAAGAAACCATTTGAGGATGATGATGATGATGATGATGATGATGATACAATGTTTGACAACAATATCTTGGGACAAAGGTAGCAAACCTCTTCATGTCTTAGCATCAAACCATGTCCCCTGTTTCCATCTTTGATGTTAACATGACCCTTCTCCATATAGAAGGACTGAAGCATAAACAATTCTTCCTCAATGCATCACCTGGATGATGACAATCACATTATAATTAATAGCCGTTTTCAAATATAACAAACCAATGTATCAAAGAATACGTCATTTTCTAGTTTTGTTGACAGTGGCATTTTATCAAACAGGTGGTGGGCAATGTACTCAAGAGTGTAAATTCAACTCAATTTAACGAATAGTTGCATCTAAAAATATATAGCATAGATGTGCAGAAACTAAAAAGGTAAAACGAAGAAATAAGACCAACTAACTATTTTGCACAGTGCCTCTGTTTACTAAACTAGAGTTTGCATGTTTGAATACTGAAATTGTTTCCTTCGCTCATGAAGCCCCTCCCCCTACTATAGATGCTACATTCATAATCAACAGACTGAAAGAAAAAGAAACAGAAACATCGAAAAAATAATGCACGAAACAAATATGAACTGAAAAAATCTGATTACTTTTTGTAGTTAACCTAGCATGAAGAAAGCTTCGAACCTCATTTAAATAATCAACATATTAAAAAATATCCCTTTGATGATGACAAATACACAACCGTATCGGAATATGGCAAAGCTCCGGGTTCAGGGGCGCGGCGTTTTTTCCGGTCCTCTTCTACGGTAGCATAAACGGATGGCTTCGTTTAGGGGTTCTTTTAAATGTTGGTTAAATTGCATAAAATACCCTTTATTTTTACCTAAAATTGTAATTTTAACCCTCTATTTATGTTTTATTCTTGTTTTGTCCTCCTAACTCATATTGCAATATTTACCATCATGCAAGTAGCTGGCCAAATTTCAAAATAACAAAAAGCGGTGTTTGGCAGATGGGTGATCATGGTTAAGAACATTTCAAAGCAAGACTTAACTTAGTATAGGAAACAAAATTAAGAGTGTTCATTAGTTAAAGATTACAATATTAACATTAAACATAAACATTAACCAGCAATACAAGAATATTCAAAGCAAGACTAAGCTTAGTAAACAAAACATGTATAAACATATATATCGTTCAAAAAGATATATAAACAGCCACAAGTAGATTGAAGTTTCCAGTTTCAAAATCAAAAACTTACGGAACTTGAGGTAGAATTCGTGGTGTTACTGTATGTCGAGTTCGACAATGTGGGCGTCTGAGCAGGAATCGTTGTTATGTGTATTGTATCTTGAATGCAGAGGGAAGAGGCGAGTTGTGAGTTGCGACAGAGCAAGCTTGGGACGGAAGGTGATGGGCTGATGGTTGTCGGCAGTCTTCCTACATGGGTGCAACAGAACGATGTGCTGACTGCCGAGCCTTGCGCGAGAATGATGTCCTTGTCTAGGGTTTGTATTGATGAGTTTTTGAAGGCTAAAAACGATCATTTTTTATAAACAAATTTATAAGGAAAACGGAAGAATTTGAAAATAACTAGTTTGTTTTAAAACAATTTTAACAAACTACCAAGAGGATCCAATTACATGAACTAGAAAGTTTATAACAACACATAAAATGTTATGAAGACAACCTTTAAAGCCTATGATCTCACTTGAAATTTTGGAGTTGATAAAAATAGCAAATAACAATAAGTTTGATCTTCTATACAAGTATCCACAATTAAGAGTAAGACCCAATAGAATGCTAGGTGCCCTTTTGTATTTGTAACTTCTTAAGTCTTTAAGTGTTTAACACAAGGTAGCATTAAAGGAGAAACACTTCTAAACACCAACACTTGCAACTAGCTTCAAAAGGGAAAATATAGAGGAGTAGAGAGAACCTATGGTTCTTGAGAAGAAAAGAGAAAATGATTAGATTTAAATGCAAGCCCGATGCATCCCTTTTATCCTTGCAAATAGATTTAATGCTAATATATTTGTAAAATATGGAGTGATTAAAAACTACTAGCATGGTGCATGGAGTAATAAGCAAAACAAGCAACCTCCCACTCCTCCAAGGAGTATTTTGCCAAACGTCTCCAATGAGGGGCCCAAAGAGTGTCAAACACTCAATGTAGTATAACTTATGTACATGTTGAAGTCTAGTGATATCCAATATGCCCAAAAACTTGTACACGGCTTATTAAATCATACAATATGATATAATAACTAGTAATACCCTCTAGAGACATTATTTTCATAAAATAATAATTTTACATAATTAAATACAATAGTTACTTATATTTATTAATAATCATATTAGTAATAAAATATTCAATATGTGCCAACTTGATTAAGGCGTGACCTTATATGATCATATGGTGGCGATGGTGGTGGTGGTGGTAGTGGTGGTGGCATTGGCAAATAATCAAAAGAATTACTCAAGTTCGAGCAAAAAAATTATGGAGTAAAGAATATTGATTCAAATGTTAAAGTGAAGAATGATTCATAATCCAAGTATCGGAAAAAACTTGTTGGTGATTTGGGATATGACTCACTACTAGAAAAATAGCCTTTTACGACGTGCAATGTGTGTTGTAAAAAGCTCAGACGACGTGCAAATATGTGTCAAGTAAGGCCCTGTCATAACGAGAGACGACACGCTTTTGTGTGCCATCTATTTACGACGTGCATTTATGACATCCATTTACGACGCGCGGTTATTATACGCAATGTGTATCAAGAAAGGCCTTGTCATAAAGGAAGACGACACGCATTTGCGAGTCATAACCTTACGACGTGCATGTTTATGACATGCAATGCGTATCAAGGAATCCCTTGTCATAAATGAAGATAACACGCATTTGCGTGTCATAAACTTCAGTAAACATATACGATATGCATTTACGACACGTCTTTATGATACTCATTTACGCATAATACAAAAATATGTAAACAAATATATACCAAAACAATCAATTTCATCCAATAACATCATGCAAAAAAAATATAATACATTGATATTAAGGGGATCTAATTGTACATTGTTATTAAGTGGTTTTCCCTAACTATATAACCTAATACTACATTGCTATTAAGGGACACCTTCTGCAATGTAATGCTATACAAACTAAAAAGATATACACAATGATGATAAACATCAAATTCTAACTAATTAGAGTTGCATCTTGCCTTTCATAATTCTTTAAGTCTAATGAACCAATGCTCCGATAATTTTTGTGACCTGATCAAATAAAAGTTAAAAAATTAATATGATAATATAATTATTAGAAGAATCAAACATGGAATGTTAGTTGTAAAAGGTGAAATTACCGTTTTCTCCATCCAAAGAATGTGGGACCGCACTTGAGATATAATATTCGATCCATGTGGTGTTCCAGGTTCCATTAAAACCTGCTCTGCATTGAAAATAATTGCAGATAACTTTGTAATATTCAACCATTAAATGTAACAAATTTAATGTTTTTACTATACTATGTAGCTTGTTATATAAACAAGTAAAGAATGCTACAAAACATGGAAGAAATGTAGTTAGATTGTTAGAAGTTAGAAGTTATTCAAGTGGATAAAATTTACCAACGGTAGAGATTTTCAAGAATTCAAAGATAAGGTTGACTAGTTAGCATATAATAGTGTTAACATGAATCTACACAGTGGAATAATATGTCCAGGCTAACTCATTTTCCCATTTAAGGATCGGCCAACCACCAAAAGGGTGAGCGGATGTTTCTTACACCAATGTACCATCCACATACAAGGAAAGGGATACAAACAAGTTAGAAGCAAAAGGAAGAGCAAGAGAAGAAAAAGAAGAATATCATATGGTTAGTTACCTGATCTTCTTTGCACGTATGGAATTTAGCATTGCAAGTCGGTGGTGTAAATCTTTTTGCATTAATACCATCTACAAGCAAGGAGGCAGTGAATTTGATTTTTGTAAGTAGTGGTTTTAAATTACCATTTTCCCTTTCAGAACTGCCTAATAATATGCAATCATATTGAGCACGTAGACTCTCTATTCTTGGGACCCATGCAAGAGGCCGATAGCTGTAGAGGCCCTTCAGTAGCCACACCAATGTAAAAGCATGTCCAACCACAAAGCTCACCTTGTAGACTTGTTATCTAAATTTTGTAATTTGCTTATTTGAACATTTCTCAAATATTGTCCTGGTAATCTTTTGATGCAGAAAAAGCATTTGGAAACCTGAGAACAACTCTGCACAAAAATTACATAAAAATGTCCATCAATTTGTATTTTAATTTACTATCTACACTTATTTTTTCTCATAAAAATGTCAATCAATATCTATTTTAAAAATAATGGTCTATTTAAAATATCAAACATGTTACAGATTAAATTCACATCAAAGCTATTAAAGATGAAAATTTCTTACGTGAGTTGATTATCTGATGATGATGCTGCCAATGTAGATGCTTCATGTGGACTCCACTCAATAGATGTTATCGGATGTTTGTGGTACTCAAAATGTGCCACAACAAAATCACCTTCTTGAAATAAAACAAAACCATGTTATTATATTTTTCCATAGTTTTAAATTTTAATACAATAAACTATTTGCAAAAACAAACCTTAAGCAATCTAAGATCACGAATAGAAAATGTCCCATCATCACTACCAGATGCCAACATACAACTAGAAAAGTTTTATAAAAAAGAGACTAAAAATGACTTTTTTTTACATAATTACCGTTAATGGGAAAAAGGGTAATTATAAATTACCTGCAAATCTTCAACACTACCAGTGTGTCCAACAAATGGTTTAATATCAACTTTCCATGTTGAGTCAGATGAAGGCTCCCATAAGTGGATGCAATTCTTGCAGTCGCCTTTTGAAAAATGGCAATATCAAATTATGAGTTTTTTTAGTTTTTATATCTCATAAATAAAATATTGTAATTCATACCAGATACAAGCCTGCCAGGGATAAGGGAACTTCAGTCAATTGCATAGCCTTTATCTTTGTGACCAGTGAACTTTACTAAAGGAGTTTGATTAGAAACTGTTGAGGCATCCTTGCTAATATTACTTTCAGCTACTGCCAAAGCATTTAAATGAGAGGCAAAATCCCATATCTGCATGAAGTTATCATTTATGCATATATTACAAGTATATTGTTACTGTTATTGATACTGATACTGTTAATGATACCTGCATGTGACCGGTATCTCCCTAAGTTGCACAAATATGGGGTTTTTTTGTCATTGCACGAATTCTATTCACACAACCTTCATGAAAGACTTTTCAGACCTATAGATTTAAATATAAAATGATTAAAATAGTAACGATCAAAGATGTAAAAAGTTAATGGTTATTTGTTACCTGAAAGACCGGAGCTTTTGGTCCTTCATTTTCTATTTCATCTTCACCACTATCACTACTATCACTTTCCATGTCTGTATTAGCATTTGATGTTTTTATTGGGACTAGTTCCCTTCATTTTCCTGAAATGTTTGATATTTTAAATATTTCGATTGAATTGGGAGCATTATTGTAACAACCCAATTTTCACGTCCAGAAATTTCGTTTTTAAAACTTTACTTAGAAAACACTAATAATTAAAACAATTTTTAATTAAACCATTTCACATCGAAAACCCAAATTTGAAATCCACAACATGTAAACAACCAAAATATCAGAGTATCAATCCCAGAATAAACTCATAACTACGGAAACAAGAGTGTGTGATATGCTACTACCGCGTCAGCTCCTTTCCCTTAGCTGAAGAGGTACCTGAAACCAAAACTGAAAACT